AAAGAGAAATAGTATTTTCTTAGGGGTTTTTTTTTGTAGTCGTCATATCCTACATGGGCAATTAGCGTACTTGTGGTATTCCCTAAGTACTGAAAACAACCTTTTATAAAGGCATGATTTTTTTCTGAAAAAAGTTCATCACATTGGTACAAGCATTAGTCATGTAGATTCAAATCCAGTTTCGACATTGGGCTTGACGAATAATTTGCCATGGAAAACGTTCGTTATTGCCAAGCCCCACAAAGAACGCTCGTTGGGTATTGGGGTTCAATTTAATTAACTATAGAAACAATGTAATAAAACTAAATTTTATAAAAATCTTAGGATTAACAAAATGTTAAACCTCTCTCCCTCTACATCCCTGCATCAGATCAAGTACGAATATATAACGCAACCTAAGTCCCCTGTAAAAGGTTACATAGTGGGGAGAGTAAACCAGAGCATGTACGTTTGCATATGCCTCCTTATTTATCTTCGAACGAGGTGGTTCGTTACTGATTAATCTCTACCATATGTTTGCCACGGAGGCTAGCTAAGCAGTTCAGTTCAGTTGCCCCCTCTGCGACGATAAGATGGCGTCCAACGCCTCCTTCACCTGGGAGATCTCCGGCGCCGTTCCCCCTTGCGCCGGCCAGAACTCGTCCGTCGCCAGCACCTTGACTTGCAGCTGCAGGAACTTGACGTAGCTGAATGCCTTCTCGAGCATGGTGACCATGTCGACCTTGGTGCCGTTGGGCACCAGCTCCTGCAGTGTCCGGAGCCGTTCGCTGATCTTCTCCCGCCGGTTCTGCGCACACAGAACGGTACGTTCAGATCTTTTGAAATCCCCAAGGAAACGCAATGTATAATGGATTCGAGCAGTAAAAAGATTCGGTACCGAATTTACCTTTGCGGTGAGGCTTTGCGGGTCCCCCTTGGGCGAGGTAGTGGTGGGCGCCGCCGGCTTCGCCTTGCTCGTCTTCCTGCTCGCACCGCACGGCTTCTTGGTGGTCCGCGGCTCCGCGTCCTGGTCCGCGTACGATCGCTTCGAGGAACCGCGCGCCGGCGTCGCGGCATCGGGCGAGCCATTGGACGTGCCCGGGAACAGGAGCCCGAACGGCCGCCGCGCGCCGACGGAACTCTGAGTCAGGCTGAAGCAGCCCGTGGCCGGGTCAAACCCTATGGTCGACGCCGGCGCCGCGTGCTGATGGCCCTGATCTACGTCCATGTCGTCCACCCACGCGTCGCAGTCGGGCTCCTCCTCCACGACCTCCTGCTGGGCCGCGTGGCCCCGCGCGCCGTGGCCGAACGAGAGCACTGAAGGCCCCGCGCTCGCCCAGCTCGCGCTGTTCCGCACGTAGGCGCTGGCGGCGCCGGTTGGCTCGTCGTGGGCGTAGGCGTAGCCCCCGAAGAGCGCCGCCGCGTCGACGCCTCCGAGCAGCGCGTCGTGGCCGCTGTAGCCGAGCGCGTCGAACGCGGATGCTTCGGCGTCGAAGCCGCCGTCGTACATCACCATCGGCTCCCGCACTAAGGCCATGATCACGATCACGTAGCTACCTAGCTAGCTAGTACCAGTAGTTTCCGTGCGTGGCAGCAGCTAAACCAAGCTAGCTATGTGATGTAATCTAGCAGAGTGTTGCACCTCGATCGAGCTCTGCGCTGTGCGATAAGCGGCGAGCTGTGTGCTGCCTTCGCGCCATGCGCCGGCTATATATACATGCCGCGGCGCACAGGCCCGGGCCACGGCGGGCACATGGGGGGGCCGCTACAACAAAACACTGGGCGTGGGGAGGATTATACAAAGTACATCCGCATTAAATGCTTGAGTTAGCTAGCTGATTGAGCTGCCGATCCTTGCCGTAGCTGTGTCTCCTCTGTTCCCGGAGCGAGCCTGAAGAACTCGCCCGCCAGCTCCATCGCGGGTATCGGGCAATCGGGTTTGTTCACTCAGCGGAGCTCCGAAATCAAGGACTGAAGGAGGGATTGTGTGAGCAGTGCGGATCCAACCGAACTGAAGGAAGAGGAACGGCGACCCATTTGGGTGGCGGGGAGGCAGGGGGCAGAAGGCGCGGCGGAGGCGACGGGCTCTCCCACGCGCTGCAGATTCCCGACCCCTCTCTTCTCAAGTGGCCATGCCATGCAGCGCGGCTCAGCTACTCCCTCCTTTCCGAGTTGCCTTGCCTTATAAAATGGAAAAACTAAAATTTTGAAATAAGCCCTATAAATTAAAAAGGAGAGAGTAGGCCGCATATGCCGAGTTGCCTTACCTTCTCTTTATTTACGGCCGTGCAACGCAAATGGATTTTCTACATTTCCTAGAATGTACTAATGCCTTGATATCCTGCTTTCATTGTTTTCTTTCAACAACACGTAGAACCTTTGCTAGTCGTTCCTTCAAGTGAGAAACGAAACCAAGTTGGTGGTAGAAGCAGTGCATCGATGTCAAGAAGCAAAAAATAAAATAAAATGCGAAAGATATCAAGAGGAAGTGCATCGGTGTCAAGAAAGCTATTAACATCCATCTTTTAAAAAAGGATGGCTTTTATTGGTATGTTCTTACACCGGTATGACTAGTCATAAATTGATGCTCACCTTAGTCTATCATCTAAAACTAGAAGGGTTGGATGTGCTTTGTTGCTCTGCTTAAAAAAATAAAGTGTATTACTTCTTTGAAAAGTTAAACCTTTTAAGTTTGATTAAAAATGAAGAGAAATATATCAAAATCCATAATATCAACCCGGTATCATAAGATTCAACATGAAAAAAATCATGCATTTTTTGTTTAATATTGTAGATGCCGATTGATACGTCTTCAACGTATTTATAATTTTTGATTGTTTTGTGTTATTATATTATCAATCTTTCATGCTTTATATGTTATTTATATCATTTTCTGGAACTAACCTATTAACCCAATGCCCAGTGCCAGCTCTAGTTTTTTGCTTGCACTGGGACCAGAAGGGACCAGTCCAAACACGATGAAACTTTACCTTGATTTTTTCTGGACTAGAAGGGACCCTAAAAGCTTCAGAAGGTGGCCAGAAGAGCTACAAGAGAGCCACGACCTCACAGGGCATGCCCCAGTGGGTGGGCGCTCCCCTGAGCTCGTGGGTCCATGCAACTTCGTTTGACCAAATTCCAAGCCTATAAATTCACAAATATTCCCAAACCAATAGGGATCCACCAGAAACACTTTTTCTGCTGGCGCAATCTTCTGTTCTTCCGCGATCCCATCTGGAGGCATTTTCCAGTACTCTTCCAAATGGGAAATCGATCACGGAAGGCTTCTACATCATCCTTACTGCCTTGCGATGATGCATGAGTAGTTTACCATAGACCTACGAGTCCATAGCTAGTACATAGATGGTTTCTCTTCTCTCTTTGATCTTCAGTGCTCCCTCCATTCCCTTATACAAGGCCACTATAAAAATTACATTTTGCATCTATACAATCCACTAACAGTAATCAGGGCAAAAATTAATGATGTTTTCTCATACTAGCAACTTGTTTAATACTTGCATGCATGTAGTCATAATGACACTATGCTACTTCCTTCCCATTGCTTCCTTCCATGCATGCAGACGTATTAATGATCCTGATTAACGAAGATAAAAGTTGCTTGAAAAGCAGTCATTAAATTTTGCCTTGGTATCTGTAATTTGAGTTTGTGGCCTTGTATAAGGGAATGGAGGGAGTACCATGTTCTCCTCGATCTTCTTGGACTTCTATCCGGTGTAATCTTCTTTTGCGGTGTGTTTGTTGGGATCCGATGAATTGTGAGTTTATAATCAGATTATGTATTGAAAGTAATTGATCTTTTCTGAACGTTATTATGCATGGTTGTTATAGCTTTGTATTTCTCTCCAATCTATCTATTTGCTTTGGCCAATTAGATTGATTTATCTTCAGTAGGAGAGGTGCTTTGTGATGGGTTTTCAATCTTGCAATGTCCTCACCTCGTGACAGAAGGGCTAGCGAGACATGTATTATATTGTTGGCATTGATGGTAAAACAATGGTTTTTTTTATATTGATTGGGTTTATTTTGTCTGCATCGTGTCATTTTTCTTAAAGTGTTACTCTGTTTGTTCTGAACTTAATGTCATGGATGCATGCTGGGTAGCGGTCGATTGGAGGAGTAACAGTAGTAGATGCAAGCAGGATGCCTATATAATGATTATGCCTTGGATGATCTTCCTAACTTTGCGCAATTTTGTCAATTGCCCAACAGTAATTGGTTTACCCATCGCTATACTGCCTTCGAGAGAGATGACTCTAGTGAACCTATGACCCCGGGTCCATTCTCCATATATTTACAAGTTCCTATAGTTGCTACCAATTTTCTATCATTATCCTAGTTACTATTATCCTTTGCTATCTTTACTATTATTAGCTTTTAACCTTGTGGCTAGCAAAAACAAGGGGAGTGACGACCCCCCTTGCCTTTGTTGGGTGTAAGCGGTTATTTTGTTTGTGTGCAGGTGCTACTAACATTGTATGTGTGTTGCCTCCTAATGGCTTGATAAATCTTGGTTCTTATTTGAGAGAAATACTTTCTGCTGTTGCACTATATCACCCTTCCTTTTCATGGAAATCTAAGAACTCCTACGAGAGTAGCAGTGCTCACACAACCATAACGCGTTCGAATGTGATCAATCCTAAGGTCTCTCTCTCTCTCTCTCTCTCTCTCTCTCTCTCTCTCTCTCTCTCCGCATAAGAAGAGAAATCTGCTTCGTTTTCCCCCGCGAGATTTTGTCGAGGCGTGCATGCCAGTTTATAGAATATTTCTTTTGTCTCTAATGTGGTTTCGTTGAGGCATTGATTTCCAATCCGGATCTACATCGGTACAAAAGAAAGACGAGTAGTGCGCTATTGATTAAGGTTGCATCCGAAATAGCATTTAAAAAGATTTAATAGGTAAAACAACATCGTATTCAAATTCCACACATTTTTTGATAACTTCCGTATATTGCATGTTAGAATTGAAGTTAGAGTTTAGAAGTTAGGGATGTTCTTAAAATGCATCTGAATCTGCCACTAAAATAATGTTATTTTCTAGATGGATTGCGGGTTTACTAAATGAAATATCATAGGCTTTATGCAAAAGAAGGATTCCTGGATTCACTTAAAACAGGACTGTTGGTTGATTAACTAAAATATCAAGGGGTTTTCCGCAAGAAATGATGTTTTTCTTATTAACTTTAAAACAAGACCACGGGTTGATTTCCGAAAATGGTAGGTGGTTTTCTGCAAAATTGCCGAGAGATGGGCAGAAACACTAATTCCTTTAGAGCTCTTTTACGTTACCCTACCTGGTACTCCCATGGCATTAACCGGAGTACCAAACAGATCTAGCCGTCCATGATGAAGGGTAAGTTAGACCTTTTACGATAGAGGCCCGATCATTCAGTTTCATAGAAAAAAGTTGTCGATCGATCCTGCATCCCAGCCGTGAGGCTAGTAGGTGCCGCCGCCGCCAGCCAGATTGAAAATTTCTCTTCAGTCCAGCAGAATTGTTGCCGTCGCCCGTGGCAATCGCACCGTCGGCTGCACGCTCGGCTCTTGCCCTCGATGTCTCCGTTGATTCTCCGCTGGTGCATCGTCTGGTGAAAAGCCTGGGACAGTGTATCCATCCGCTGCATTCCTCCAGCTTGAGGATGCACTACTGGGCTTCACAAATCCATCCATTATGTTCAGGGATTAGAACGTGCGAGTTTCCGACCTGATTGTGGAGGACACAAGCACGGCGGCGGTAGCATGCGAAGCAGATCGCAGTGGCGGCGGCGTTCGTGGACGGAAACGAGTGCAGCGCGGCATTTGTACGAACCAGATGTTACAGGGGGGAATATCAAAATACCCTCAAGATAAATAACCATAAAATGATTTTGATGCGATTACTGTTTTGCCCCTTAGATTAGGGTACTCCGTGACTCATCGACTCAGTACTCCGTGGAACAAAAGATGGAGTACCGGAGCATACTGGCCATTGGATTGCCAGAAATAGACGGCTTATATTAATTCATGGGCACTGTAAAAGAGCTCTTTCTTTATTAGTGAAAAAAGTGTATATTATTTCCAGTTTGAAAATGCAGTACAATTTTGGGGGTACTATAAGTGATCACAGTTTTATTTTGATTAGCATGTTGCTTCGAGATTTCCTGTGAACGCATGTATCACAAGTCATGCTCAATTGACACCTTGCTAGCGCTATATCATCTCAACCGAGTGAAACTTTGCACACACTTCTATTACAAAGTCGATACCTATTTCCATCATCTCAACCGTCGATCCCCTATGCAAGCGATATATCATGCTCGCCCATTCTGTTAAAGTTTGGCGCGCGCGTATCAGATTAGGAGGACCATAGGCGACATAGAAAGCGAGGAGAAATTAGGGGACAGGATGCTTGGGATACCATTAATCCCTGGCCCGGGTGCTGGCTAAACCTGCAATTCCCCCTGCTGTTCTTACTGATCTGCCTGCCCGTGACACCACAAATATAACTCGATGTCTCCTGGCCCAGTGTGTTTGTTTAAGC